AGGCATACACAAAGTAAGATCATCCGCATATTTCACAAGTGTGTTTACAGTGGAAGATGGCATATCATGCAGAAAACAAGAGGAGAGGTGAAATAATGGTTCCTTGTGGTACACTTCCATGATACAGTAGAGAATCTGAACACTTTCCTCCAAACACAGTGTATTGTTCCCTTCTAGAGAGGCAGGAACATAACCAATTGATTAGCCAGCTATGATTGTCGACTCTGATTGACTTGTTAAGTAAACGTTGTTATGGTATAGAATCAAAAGCGGAACTATAGTCCAGAAAAGCGCATCGGATATACTTCTTACCATTTTCTAAGTTAAACACTATATTGTGATGCAGGACAGCAGCGGCATCTAAGGTGCTTCTTTTGCATTTGTAAGCAAACTGATACGGATCGATGTGCTCTTTTTCTGTAGGTAGGAGTGAGAGTGTCAATAATTTTTCCAATGTTTTGAGGAAAAGTGAAGTTATTACTTAGGGTCTAAATGTCACCTTATTACAAGATATTTTCTTATGTATAAGGATTATCTTTATCTTTCTCCACATTTCCGGGAATGAGATTAGATGAGATGGATCTGTTAAAAACACTCGTAAATGAACAGCATAGGACGTCAGCAAACTTTTTAAAAGGAAGTTTGTGATACCATAAGGTCCTAAACACTGGGCTGAATTAAGTGACTGGAGACATCTTCGGACACTAGTTTCAGTGAAACTAGGAACACAACTATTCTTTAAACCTGTGGATATAGGGAGCATTGCATTAGATGAATGACGTACAAAAGACTTGTTTAAGTCACAAACATTCAGCTATTTGTCGCTGCTGATGTACCTGCCACCTATAAGTCCTTCAAAATGTTTCAACATTCTTCAAGAGTTTTTACAAGACAGAAGTTTTAGGGTAGACATTGAGCTCAGACGTCTAATCTCTAGGTTTATTAGATCATTCATCTTACGAACTTCAATAGAGATTTTTCGGCACGGGGAAAACGTCAGATTCCTTCTAAGCTGCTCGCCGTTTTGTGTCAATCACCTTGAACGGTCTGACAAGTGGCGGGTATTCCATATTTCGATTGCTATTGGTTTGTTGGGTTTCATGCGTATTATGTTTTTTTTCATATTTAAGTTTTTGCTGCATTGAAAAGCAGAAAATAACTGCTAAAAGCAATAATTTAACATTCTCCGTTATGTAGTGTACACACTGGCTTTGTTATTGTTTCGTTAGTTGAGCTGTGATCCCAACTGTTGCAGTAAACCTCAATGAAATGTCAAGTCATCGGTAATTCTTATCACTGAGTTCAGAAATAGAATTGTAGCGGTAAAAATTCATCAAAACAAATAATAATAATAAAAATTTATTCTCAAATAACAGTTTGTTACATGAAGCATGCCAGTTTACAGGCAAGATCAAATTGATACAAATGATACAATATCCACTGTAGTAATTTACATGGCTGGGTTGATAATTTATAAGATATGAATGTAGATGGTTTTAATCAGTACCACTGTTGGCGCGCTTCATGAAAGTTGCGTTGTGAATGTACAACTGATGGTCAAGGATAAGTACATTGAAGGTGAGAGCTTCTAAATGTCGCAACCTTATGTCCCTTTGGAATGTCTAAGGCTTTGAGAATGGTGCAGGATGAAACCTTTCGTTCCATATCACAAGGGGGTTGAAAGAGTGAGCAAGTAAAAGAAAGGACGAGAGGAAGTGTAGCCAATATTCATGAAGGAATGTTTAAGGTATGATTACTCATTCTAATTTTTCTTTTATTAAGGTATAGTTAGGAAAGAGCATTTTAATAGGTTAAAGAAAATAAGTGCAAAGAAGGTGTGAGTGGACATACAACTGACAAATGGAGGTGATTCAGAAAGGAGCTGAGAGTATGGGATTATGTGTGGTCATAAAATAAGATATAGTGCTAAAAACAGTATTGTGATGTACAATTGGCTATCTTCCTTCTTTATCGAAGCTATTAGATCGTCTTTCATTTTTTGTACTATTTTTTTCAGGTATCATAGGGTCTTGAGTAGGCTTCGTATATTAGCAAATTGTCTAATTTTCTTGTAATAGGATTACTGGTTAGGAAGTGAAACCAATTCAATGTTCGTAACACAATTTAATGAGGTATTTTGCATGATAAATCAGCATTAAAACCTTAAGTTCGTGACATCTCACTAAACCATAAAGGGCCGTAATTAAACAAATAGCTCTGTAAGTTTGTGACATTGGATGCTGACCACATGTTTTAACGGACTCACCTAGATGAAGACGCTCGGTCATGCATCCGAGCCAGATCACGAGTGGTAACGCCATGCTCAACAACCCCTGCAATCGCTAGTTAGATTAGATCAGTCGATTCTCGATGTATTGATAGCATATCAAATATATCTTCAAACATCCTCGCTTCTGTCTTTTGATTTCACTTGGTTGGTACTCTTCATATTAGAAGGTGTTACTGGTTAAAGTGCTGTCAAACTACATATGCTTGTGGCATCTTCCGTATAAAAAAATTGACATAGGAAAAAGTAAAGAATTAGAATGGCCTAGGTTATCAATAATAACGATATATATACATATGTGCGCAAGGACAGGTCAAAGGTTATTTGTTGTTAGAATTAAGGAAACATTAAAGATGGGTGGTGTAATATTCGAATGGAATTCAGACACAGGTAAGGTAAATTGTGTGGTAATTTTAGAGGCAATGAAGAATTCATGAAATCAGAATGGGTTTTTGTGGAGAGTTTAATAAATTTAACAAGTTGAAATCATGAGTCAGTTGAAGCTAGACCACCATGAAGAACCTGGAAGCACTGGACGGCCGTTTCGTTCTGGTATGGGACTCCTCAGCAGTGCGCATCCACGATCCCGCACCACGCGGGGCTCAAACCTAGGACCTACTGGCTTCGCGTGCGAGCACTTAACCATTAGACCACTGAACCGGCATTCAACGGTGTTAATGTCTGACTTCAACCAATCCACGAAGTTGCGTCACCGTACACTATTGTATTCAGTGAGTTGTTATCTCACAACAGACCGGTTGAACTCCACTGGTAACGGCTTCTCACTAGAATTCCAAGAGTTTTTCCTGAAGTCAGTCACTAGTGAGCAGTTGATTATTATCAGAATGGGTTTTAGAGGAGAGTTTAAGAAATTTCACAAGTTGAAATCATGAGTCAGTTGAAGCTAGACCACTATTGAAAACCTGGAAGCACTGGACGGCCGTTTCGTCCTCGTATGGAAATCCTCAGCAGTGCGCATTCACAATCCCGCACCACGCAGGGCTCGAACACAGTACCTACTGGCTTCGCGCGCGAGCAACTAACCACTAGACCACTGAGCCTAGTTTCACTAAAACTAGTGTCCGAAGATGTCTCCAGTCACTTAATTCAGCCCAGTGTTTAGGACCTTATGGTATCACAAACTTCCTTTTAAAAAGTTTGCTGACGTCCTATGCTGTTCATTTACGAGTGTTTTTAACAGATCCATCTCATCTAATCTCATTCCCGGAAATGTGGAGAAAGATAAAGATAATCCTTATACATAAGAAAATATCTTGTAATAAGGTGACATTTAGACCCTAAGTAATAACTTCACTTTTCCTCAAAACATTGGAAAAATTATTGACACTCTCACTCCTACCTACAGAAAAAGAGCACATCGATCCGTATCAGTTTGCTTACAAATGCAAAAGAAGCACCTTAGATGCCGCTGCTGTCCTGCATCACAATATAGTGTTTAACTTAGAAAATGGTAAGAAGTATATCCGATGCGCTTTTCTGGACTATAGTTCCGCTTTTGATTCTATACCATAACAACGTTTACTTAACAAGTCAATCAGAGTCGACAATCATAGCTGGCTAATCAATTGGTTATGTTCCTGCCTCTCTAGAAGGGAACAATACACTGTGTTTGGAGGAAAGTGTTCAGATTCTCTACTGTATCATGGAAGTGTACCACAAGGAACCATTATTTCACCTCTCCTCTTGTTTTCTGCATGATATGCCATCTTCCACTGTAAACACACTTGTGAAATATGCGGATGATCTTACTTTGTGTATGCCTATCTCTACCACTTTACATCCCATAGAAATGAATGAGTTTTTTTCTCGTATTGATTGTTGGTCTATCGGTAATGATCTCATACTTAATCCGTCTAAATGTCAAGCTGTTGACTGTAGTATGAGACATGAACGACATTTAAACACAATTTTGAGGTCCCATAATGCTTGTGCCATTGGAGACTCTTTGATAAACACAGTGTGGAAAGTGAATCATCTTGGTGTTACCTTTTGCTCTGATCTCTCTTGGTCTTCTCACGTTTTATTGTTATCGAATAAGGTTTTCCGTCTGACTTGCTACATAAAGAGATTGCATGCTCTTGGGATTACTCGTCATTTACTCTTACAATTGGCCAATTCTTGCATATAACCTAGTATTTTTTTATGGTTCTCCATTATTCCTTCCCGGGCTTTTGAGAAAACACTTTGCTGTATTGCGGAGAGTGCTGAAGGCAGTTCACAAGGTGTGTGGTGATACTTTCGAAGTCATGATTATTATGATTGTGGATAGACATGTAAAGTTACGCAAACTCCTGAAAGGTGTGTTCTTAGCAGATACTAACCATCTCCTTCACTCATATCTTTCTCCTTGTATATCTTCTGGTAGAACGAGACATAATTACATTAAAATACATGCATGCAAGCAAACGTATATATTGTTCCGCAATATAATATCGAATAAAGCCATTATTATGAATAATAAGGATATCTGTATTTATTTTCTTACCCGAAAGCAATATTATTTTCCCTTTTGAAGTATAGTGAGCTAAAATACGAGATTTTTCCAAACAAACAACTATCATTTGTTCTGAAGCCTTTAGTAAAATATAACATGAGTGTTTTCTGTTTACCCGTTCCAGGTTGTTTTAATTCGCTATTCATATTAACTTCTAATGAGACCCTATCTTGGATTTTTGAATAAGTAGTCGCATAAATGACAAATATTAAGTCTCATGCATGTAAGATAAAAAAGAATTTAGTTATACGTTCATCACTGTAGACACCACAAAGTTAAAGGCGTTGAATGAAGCTTGTTTCAAGCTGGTGAACAATGCAAGTAATTTGCCATCCTCAAATGATATAACTAGCTTGTTGAAATTTTTTCAAAACAGCCTATACAAGTATGTTTACATGATATTTAACACAAATTTGTAGCATACTCAAGGATATTCATGTCCTCTCCATTGAACGCTTTATGAATAGGATCAATGACCAGGAGTGGAGGTCCAAACATTTACCTCAACTTGACTACGGAACACTTTATTTGTGCCTTTTAACAATTTCAGAGCACATTCAAAAGCTTACCAACCAGAGCGGTAATTGCTTGTTCGATAACTCGTGTTTTTATGGAAACGTCAGCCAATAGTGATTGATTTATTGTAATTTCCGTATTTTGGGGGAATTTCAAGCAAATATTCAAAAAAAACCAAAATTTACCTAAATAGTTTTGTGAATTTCTTCGAAATTTTAAGTTTTTTTGTGAAAAAAACCAAATCAGGGGAAATTTCAGATCTTTTGTCGCATTTCCTTAAAGTTTTCCATTGCAGCTTCCCCAAAATCTCTTCGAAACTTTTAACATTTTACCTCAAATCACGAGATTTGGATATTCTAAGTCCTATTGAAAGTTTAATTTGATGCTCATTATTTGGTGTAACATTGGTTGTCTGATTTGAATCAACACTGCATATGAGAAATGTGTTTGACTATATCTTGGGAAGAATCGCTTGAGTTGTAGGGAAATTTGGAGGTATTTGGGAGACGCTCATCATATATTTTGGAATTACTTGCAAGCCCAGATCAGTACTTACATAACGGTCGCACTCTTCATCGACAGTAATGTTTATATTTATAAAATTATGTGTTCAGTAAAGGAGGTTTCAAACTTGATAAACAAACCGTATAAGAATTGGTGTTTTTAGATCTGAGTGTTATCTCTTAGTTTCAGAAGAGCATGTGGAAAACTTAGATAGCTCATGGAATATTAATTAACTCACGTCATCGTGGAAGAATGATCCCCATGGTAACTTTTGTTGTAGTTCTGACTCGTAATTAATTTGACGTTCTAACTGACGCCTGTTATGAATTTTAATTTAAAAACAAATATTGATGGTTTTATACATACTTCAATAAACTTAGTTGTCGAGTTTTGTATTTTGACTGCCTCATAATTTTCTTGATAAATATGTGGAATCCTATAGATATTTCCTTAGTCGTAAACGTATGCATAACTTAATGTTGTCTTAGAGGTTGGTTAGATTGTTTTTGGATGAATATTTCATTTTTCTCTAAGTGGTTTTTTATTTTGTATCATCTATATCAACGTCAAAGTTGCTATTTTTAAGTGGTTATTTATGAATTGTTCTTGATTAAAGTATTGACATCAAAATGCTGAAATTTATCCACTGATATACTGGTATAAAAAGATTAGAAAATTGTTTTGAATGCCAATCAGTCACAACGTAGAACCTGGCATGAATGTACACCTGTTCAACTTTCCACACACCATTAACACAGGGACGTGAAATTATTCGGGGAAGTCCCGAAATAGCGGAGGTTGTAATGGTATCATACTTATAAGGAGAGATTAGGTGTCAAAGACACAATTCAAGTAAATATGAATTAGTGCAATAAAAAAGATTACGAGGAATTCGATAGCTTAAAACCTGAGGGAGGAAAAAGAATAAACGGACCTGAGTCACATTGCACAGTTTTGAGGTATTTCGTACGGAGTCTCTAATCACTGGTTATGAACATCACACAGACCCCTACCAAGCAGTCTACACTTGACAACATGTCTCAGTGCACTTGTCAGTGACTGAATCCACGTTTTCGTTTGCCCGCCTGTAGCTTACTTCCAGCTTACACCCACGTCGGACAATATCACCTGTTGTGGTAGGCAGTGGTTAGGTATACATCACATATGTCTCAAGATTGACTACCACGTAAATTAAATTACCATATATACCCATTACCTAATTTTTAATCTAGGCACTGCTTGCATGAGGAATGTTTTGAAGCAATCTACGGGCAAATAATTATAACCCATAAACATTATCTATTCTTAATGACCATGTTTCACATCCACAAAGTAGGAAGGAGTTAACTTCTGCACAGCAAACTCATTCTTTATTCTCCATATAAATATCTTGCCCACGCTACAAATGATGTGATTTGACAAAAACCAATCCAGACTCCTAAATATGTGCAAAGATTTCATCAGACATCAGACCATCAGGATTGATCAGGTTCTTAAATTAAGTCAAGCGGTCAACACACGTTTTTCTGAAAATAAAAGTTGTAGTATTTTAAACCATCTTCTTCATTTTTTAAAGTAAAGATTTAAGAGAAGATCAAGGTCTAATACATCGCGTACAATTTTGAGCTATGCCACCAAGAGCTCTCGGCATATTTTTAAGCATTTTGTGTGAGTCACAGCCAAAAAGTATGTAATTGCCAAAAAATTATTCTAAATTTGGTGGGTTTATTGGAGCGCAGTTACGTCTTTAGTTGTTGGATTTTAGAGTTCTTTAATTTTATCCTAACCTTACTCCTCGTGATTAAAGTGAAATTACAACCTCATCAATTAATTTGTCATATTTACATGGTGTTGTTTATTCCGTTGTTCCTCCGCTTGTTATGAATTCATCAAAAGCATTAATGATCAAGTATTAGTAAACTATAAGTGTTATAAACCTTCAGAGTCAGTGTTTCACATCCACTGCAATGAACATTTTTCTTTGATGTACCAATAAATATCCTTACTAAGCTAAATGTTGTGCCAATTGAAAAAGTCCTGATGGAAGTTTTGTATTTATCAAACCATTTTGTTAACCACTGGCTCATTGACTATAATGAAATTAGCAATTTAAGTATACCCATCGGTTTGCTTAATCACTTCAATTGTACGGTCAGAAAAGAAAATGGAGCAGATAAATCGTAAAGCAACATCCTAGATTTTTAAGAAAAAGAATTCACTGCAAACATTTTGTTTTTTGAAAACCTATTTCACAGTTATTAATTTTTTCTTGAAGTCTTTTATTCTACATTACATTAATAAACTTTCTATCCAGATTCACAAAGTATGATGGCATTATGCAACTAATAAGCTTAGTATTCCGGAAATTCGAGCCCGGTATATTATAATCTACGGGTGAACGGAAATCTGAAGTTCATAGATTTGAGTTTTAAATAAACAAATAATTTCATTTCAGTGATTTTAGATACTGTTTTGCAACTTCGGTAATGCCTGCATTTTGAGATTCGTTAATAATTTGTAGTATCAATTTAAACTAATACAAAACAAGTTATGCGCTCATATATGTTTGTATTTTCTGTACATTTCCAGCTGTTTGTGAACACTTACTACGTACAATTCAAAGTCTCATATTTTGTTTGGATTATGACTGTTTAGAAGGTGTACCGTTAGCTATCACATGGATGTTACTCTATTTTCCATCAAATATGCAGTCCGGCGTTATCGATCTACTATGTTCAGTGGTGATACCATTGATTTATAGTAAGTTACTGACTTAGTATTTGTTATTTCTATGTAGAATGGTATTTTGGGTTTCGTAAATTAAAGTCATAGGATAAAGCGAAAGTTTGTTCCTATGTTCCCTCTAAACCTTGCTCAGATGTTTTGATTCCTTTTATCATATACCTTATATGTTATTTTTGTAAGAAATGTTAAAAATCGAACCTTTTTGTTAATCAATTTGTAATTGTTAATTCATTTGACTTCACATGGAATTTAAGAAGCCAGAATATTGATGATGCTAGGCTTTTAATGTGTAGCGTTATAATTAACATGGCCGATAACTGGAAAACTATAGTCAAGTCATTATTTCAGGTTGTGGTGTGGATTGGAAAGCGCAATGTCAGCAGTATTTGTGTTAAACTAATTTTCCATTATAAACACTGAATTAGAGTTTCAGTCCGTCTTCAGGTTTCTTGATCAAAATATCTGCTCTGGTACCCCAATGAAGCTTTGGATTTCAGTTGTATGGCGTTTAAACAATTAATAATACTCAATACAACTCTATGACCACTCATAAAAAACTCATGACTCGTATGCACTGAGATAGAGTCTATGCATATTTTAATTAATAAATCAAATGTATTATATATATATATATATATATATTTCGAACTTGTTGAACCCATCCACAAATTTCTGGTGTTTCAACTAGCTTGTCCAGATACACAAAGACTCAGGAGCAATCGTTAACCAAGACCTAAAGACTACTGCACACTGACGTGCAATATTCGCCAAAAGGTTTAGAACTTTATAGTCAATACGTAGGGCTTTTAGTCATGTCAACGCTTAAACGTTTTTGTTTTTGTATACAGTGTTCGTACGTCCAAAACTTGAGGACTGCATGCAAGCGGCTAGCCCCGCTTAAAAAAAGACAGCAAACGTTTGGGACAGGTTCAGAGAACAGCAACTGAGCTTATTCCTGAATGGCGAAGCTTCCGTATGATGCCCGACTGGCCAAGTCAAACCTATGCCCGTTGTCATATCGAAGAACTAGAGGCGACTTGATTACAGTTTTCAAATTACTTAGTGATAATTTTGCACCTGATATTCCCTCATTTTTCTTGTCTTCCAAAACAGAGAATTTACGAGGACACTCCAAAAAGGTTCGCAAGCCCAGAACAAATTACTTGTCAGCTGACTATCGGCCTTCTCATCGAACCACCAACGAGTGGAATTCGACTCCTTCAAAAGAAAGTTGGATCAACTGAGGGACCATCATTACTAGATCTAACACAGGACATCAAGCCTCCTGTTTTTTCCAAACTAAAACTGTTTTCGCGTACATGTTTCATATTGTCGAGGATTTTTTGTGTCGTTATTTATCACCTATCAACAGCATTTTTACACCATACGTCAGTTTTCTTAATGCATGTGTTTGTTACATAGCTTTTATTCCTGTTTATTAGCATTAATGTTTTTTTGAACACTTAAATATTAATACACAGGGGCATCAAATATATACGCGCCACACAAAACCATGATAATGGGAAGAGAAAAAATGGAACGTAAGGAGCACACAAACAAGAACAACAATAACAACCAGATTAGTGTAAGGTAGTGTAATAATAATAATGGGGGAAACGGAAAGGTAGAACCAGAAGAATTCTTTCAGTTAAGGGAGATACAACCACTTTTTATACAGAAAGTAAAGAAAAGTTACAACAAGTTCTCCGCTGGTTTCTGTTCTGAGCCCTATCTGATAACGTCTCTAGCCACTGTGTTGCGCCATCCCTCGGATCCCAGCCATGGAGTCGTGAAGGGCTAACAGAAGCCAGCCCTTCGCAGCTTTCTTTCATACCACGACACAGCGTCAAACATTAACCACCTCTCCACCTTTTCCAACCAGATTTTGCTGCGATAGATAACACCGAGCACAAATGTGTTACATTCGATGGCCAATTTACAGCTAATGACTTCACAAGTACCGCTATCATGGGATTCGCTAGCAGAGGAGCAGATATTCATATTATTGGCTATATATAACAGGACGCCACCTCCTTTTATACATCCATGTCCATCACTCCTGAGATAATGGTATCCGAATAATTCTTGAGTAATGTCTAAGTCATGGATTAACCAAGTTTCTGTCACTGCTACAATGAGTGACCTTAATCTGCTCACTGATGCTTCTCGTTCATAGAACTTATTTCTTAGACTACGAGCATTGGCATATAAAACTCCTAAGTAGAACGGCCTATCCACACAGGCCTTGGTAGCATTCGCTTCAAAGACCTGAGTATCCGAAAACCCACTAGCCGGAGATTTTCCTCACCGCTTTGCCGACGGGTTTCTAGTTCAGCTAATGCTTCCTTCCTTTTTATTCTATCTTCGAGAGACATATCAGGTCTAACCCATATATCGTAATCGTCATGACAACGAGCGCTACTTAACAGGAGATCCCGTTGCTTCTCCGATCCTAGGATTACCTTAAGGAATCTACATGATCGGGGTTCAACATTTTCCTCATTCGTCCTGCCTATTCTAACCAGATTTTTACCTGAACTCCTTTAGAGTTATCTGGTAAGATACTGCGAATATAATTTCCCAGCTACTCTAAATCATGCGCGTGTCTAACTTGGGGATCATGGTTTTTTGACTGCAGCAATACGCTCACAATAATATTCGATGAGATTAGATTCGTCTTATCAGTCACGCCAGAGTGGTTTTCTCTCTTACTGTCACACGCGCGTTTCGTACACCGGATTGCTGGATTTAAATTTTTTTAAATACGAAGCATTTTTCATCATTGAAGCAAGTAGACGTAGAAAGACAATGCTTATAGATGGTTTGTTCCACAGGTTTTAAGTATTGAAACGACCACTTTGTGAACGTCCTACCGCATGACCTTGGTACTCAAATGGTTGTAAAAGTTGAGTTACCGAATTTGGCATAAATGTAAGTTCATAATGTTCATCTACATAAAACTTTTGTGTGTGATGTAGTTAGTGTATGTAAAATAGAATCATGATCAATATATTGATGTGCTTATATGACTCTATATCTCACTGAATTCAATGGTTAATCAGAGGAATTTCTCTGATTAACCATAATAAAGTGTGGATCAAATCATTGTTTAAAACTTGGGGCGAGCTGCATTGTCTTTTATTTCGTTCACTTCATCATTTTGATTCTTTTAGTGTACGTGACTGCGGTTTCATCGCGATTGTCTGTGTAGTAGATCTTCAGTCTTCAGTCTTCAGTAATAAGGATAGGAGGTCTGTCGACCTATATTAATCCTTGCAGTTTGTAATACAGTGGAGGTCCAATCTCGTTTTGAATATATTAACAGATGGTGCTGATATTACGTGTTCCGGTAGAGAATTCCAGTAATTCACTACTCGGTGCGAGAAACGGAACTCCAGACGTAAACGGTTTGATCTCGGTTTTTGAACTTTCTTCGAATGTCCTCTCAAATGATCGGTTCTAGACGGGAGAAAAAGATAAGACATGTTAATACCAAGGTCATCGTTCAGTATACGATAGGCCAATATTAGATCACCCCTTATTCTACGGTAAGATAACGGAAATAAGTTAAGGTGTCTCAGTCTGTCTTCATAAGATAGGCCAGATAGACCTTGTACCATCTTAGTAGCTCGTCGTTGGACTCTTTCTAGCATATCTGCTTCATATTTGAAACAAGGACACGCTGCTTGAATCCCGTATTCTAAATGTGGTCGCACATAAATCGGGTATAGTAATCTAAACATTTCATCATCTAAATACTGGAAAGACCTACGAATTGACCATAATACCCTATAGCCTTTCGCAGCAGCAGCCTTACAGTGACCAGTCGTTTTGAGATCATTGCTTAATATGACTCCTAAATCTTTATAGTTTCTTACTTTTGGTAGCACGAATCCACGTAGCGTATAGTCATACGATTCATCAGAGTTATTTAACTGCATCACTACACTCTTATTAGGATTTACTTCTAGTGACCACCTATCTAACCATGCCACCAATGAGCTAAGATCGTCCTGTAATACTATCCTATCCGACATACTATGTATGGGTCTCCAAATCTTTATGTCATCAGCGAAGAGTAGAACGGATGATTTTGCTACAGTTGGCAATTCATTTACATAAAGTAAAAAGAGAAGAGGACCCAGGATTGTACCTTGGGGAACCCCACTTTTTACAGGTACCCACGAGGAGAGAGTCCCATTAACCCTTACCCTTTGTCTCCTGTCATGGAGAAAGTTACTTATCCAATCGACGACTGTATAATGGATTCCAAAACGTTTCAGTTTGAATTTAAGACCAGAGTGGGAAACCTTATCAAAGGCTTTACTTAGATCTATGAAAATCACATCCACAGGAGTATTCCGATCCTTTGCCGCAGCCCAATCTTCTCGTGCAATGAGAAGATTTGTCAAGCAAGATAGGCCTTTCCGAAAACCATGTTGTGCCCTGGAGAAAAGATTTTGCCCTTCAACATAGTTTATGACAGCTATCCGAATGATTTTCTCCATCAGTTTTACAACTGCACTAGTTAAGCTAACGGGTCTATAGTTGCTAACTAAATCCCTACCCCCAGCCTTATACACCGGACTTATTATGGCGTCTTTCCAGTCTCTAGGCAGTTTGGACTGTCTCAGAGACATGTCGAATAGTATCGCTAATGGTTCAGCAATTTCATGTGAAATGGCTTTCATAATCCTAGGATGAATATCGTCAGGACCACTGGACTTATCAGGTTTGAGATGTTGGAGTAGCCTTAAAACAGTATCTTTCTCAATGACTACAGGATCCATCAGCGAGCCGTCACGGTCACAACGAATCATTGGTCGTTCCTCATTACCGATAGAAAACACTTTACTAAAGTATTCCGATAATGCTTCAGCTTTTTCGGCATCATTGTCTGCTAAGATTAACGGATTTTCTCGTATCAAAAGTGATGGAATTCCATCACTTCTCTTAGTTCGCCTTTTTATATACGAGAATAACCGTTTCGGACTATATCTAGAATCCCTAACCAATTGTTTTTCGTATGATAGTCTAGTCTTACTTATTAACGCTTTACAGGCATTCCTAATCTTACAATAACTGGATCTGTATTGTTCTAAGCCGGTAGAGATGAACATATCCCAGTGATTCTTCCTTTTTCTAAGGAGTTTCCTGACCGTTTTAGTTATCCATGGTGGACTATTATTCGGTCTTCGCGGTACCAGGTATGGTATGAACGGGGACGTAACTAGTCTAAATTTACCTTTAAATACAGACCATGCTTCTTCAACTGATATGCTAGTATCTACTAACCAATTTGTCTTAGCAGCGCATTCCTGAATGGCTGATATGTTAGCTTTCCATACATTTGGGCGAGGTGTAACCTGATCGTATAACATGTCCCTAGTACGAAACGTGTATGACAAAACAGCGTGGTCGCTGTTCACTAACGGCGGGAGAATATTGAAGTCGACAATATCCTCAGTCTCATGAGTGATTACCAAATCCAGCAGAGAAGAACCCTGGTTAACACCAAAACGTGTGGGTTGGGATACATGCTGTACTAGTGCATGCTCCATTATTGTTATCAGGAACTTACTATCAAAGGAGTTTATAGATCCTGATGTGGTCATATCAGTCCAACTAATATCAGGTGCGTTAAAGTCTCCTATTATCAAACATCTGGTATTTTCACTCCAAAGATGAATGTGCTCTAAAACAAAGTCATCAGCTAGGCAGATTGGGCTGCGATAGATGACACCGAGCATAAATGTACTACATCCGATAGCCAACTTACAGCTAATGACTTCACAAGTACCGCTATCATGGGAATCTCTAGTAGAGGAGCGGATATTTATGCTATTTGCTATGTATAACAGGACGCCGCCTCCTTTCCTACATCTATGTCTGTCACTCCTGATGCAGTGATATCCGGATAATTCTGGAGTAATGTCTAAGTCATCGACTAACCAAGTTTCTGTCACTGCTACTATGAGTGGCTTTACCCTGTCCACTAGTGCTTCTAGTTCATAGAACTTATTTCGTAGACTACGAGCGTTGGGATATAAAACTCCTAAGTAGAACAGCCTATCCACACAGGCCTTGGTAGCATTCGCTTCCAAGACCTGACTATCCGAAAACCCACTAACCGGAGATTTTCCTCGCCGTTTTGCCGACGGGTTTCAAGTTCAGCTAGTGCTTTCTTCCTTTTTATTCTATCTTCGAGAGATATATCAGGCCTAACTCGGATGTCAGAATTGTCGTGACAACGAGCGCTACTTAACAAGAGATCCCGTTGCTTCTCCGATCCTAGGATTACCTTAAGGAGTCTGCATGGACGGGGTTCAACATTGTCCTCGGTCCTCTTGCCTATTCTTACTAACTTTTTAACCTGAACTCCTTTGGAGTTATCTGGTAAAATACTACGAATGTATTCTCCTAGCTTTTCTAAGTCATGCGCGTGTCTAACTTTCGGATCAGGGTCACTTGACTCCCGCAATTTGCTCACAATAATATTCGATGTTATTAGATTTTTCTTCTCAGTTACGCCAGGATGGGTTTCACTCTTACGATCAGATCTTGGTAGTGCAACTTGTGGCTCACAATTTGAGTCCACCATTGAGTTACTAACTACCTGTGTACTGCTTACAGCTTTTTTCTTTTCATTTCGTTTTCTACGTACCGTAGTCCATTTTTCATCCCTAGTAACACTGGGACTATTTGGAACGGTGACTGTTTTATCCAGATCGTCAGTGCCCACTAAAGGTGCATGATTAACAATGTCAGTACTAGGTGGTACTACTCCCCCTGTTAATATCAACGGAGATTTCACTTTTGCGTCGTTCAGAGTCGGTTTTTTGAGGCGTTGCGTAACAACACTGACACATTCGTCACTGTCAGTGCCCGTGTTGTCGGCACATTTGCCATCATTCTTCTTACAGGCCAAAGCCAATAGGCTCATAGCCTAAATGTAAATCTATATCACGTGCTAAGTTGATTTATACTGCCCAGTCTCCCTATTTTGGGTAAGGTTTTGTCCGTTTTAAGTAAATTTTGAAGAAGTCGCAATGGAAAGTTTTGGGAGAATTGTACAAAAACAACATTTCCCCAGGTCTGGGGAAAATCCCTAAAGTTTTGAGGATACTGGGTTTTTCACAACATTTCCGTAGAATCTTATAAAACTTCAAGATTTCCCCCCAAAGCTTCCCCATAATAGGGAGATTGGGTAGTTTCAGCCTAACTGTTATGAGTAATCAGTTATCTTGTCGATATAAACGTCTTTTTATGTCAAGTGTAAATACATCACACAGTTCCCTCGTTAGATTTTCCCTCTAATATGATATTCTCAGCCTTAGAACAACTTCTAGATGTGTTTTTACCACCATTATTCTTTAAGTAGTTTGTGGTGTGACTTCAATAATACATTACATTCGACTTAGGGAGTTTACATCTACAGTTGCCTCATTCACTTCCTCCCTGAAAACGTACACTTGATTTTAATATTCCAAACCGTTTGGTTATGTAGTGCTATTTGTTCTTCGGAAACATCTACAGGTAGTTACTGGCGTCTCCTATGTAACCAAAATTTTATCTTGGTGTATAGTGCTGTCCAGCACGCCTGCTCCTAGATAGGTTTTAGAATGTCAGAAAATACTTACTGGCGGAAGTTATTAAAACTAAGTAACCTTGTTTTGGGATTACTTCGGTTGCCAGTGTGTGGAGGTATGTCAAATTCTGGAATTTGTGGTCAATTTAATCATTTATTTGCATATTCTTAAATTAATTGAAGCAAAATAACCCTTGAGTATCATCTGGAGCGCTCAAAAAATCCTTTTTTTTTAATGTTACCTCTGCTCTCACACTCCTCACTGTTTTTATATACCAAAACTATCATTTACGCATTCAGTCCTCAAAGAAACATCTAGGTTAGAGCCCTAACTGAGAAGTCGAATGTAATTCGAATAATGTACAATATATTTGGCTAAACACTAACGTTTTACTTTGTAGTCAACTCTGATTTCAACAATCCATATACTGTTACATGACTTTGTAAACTCGGTTAGTAATTCTAGTAATGCATATGTTTGATACCCCGACTACTTTCGTTTAATTTTGTCGAAATTTGACTGCATGATAAAATTCGTGAGAACTTTGATGCATATTGATCAGGTTCTACTTTGCTTATGGTTAAGCAATCTCAAATCTCTAACAATCATACTGAGACTTAGAATACCACCAAAATAAATGTATTTGCCAACTAGTTTTCTGCTCACAGCATTTTTTTTATCTAACTACTTTTCTCTTGTTTCAACATGTACATTAAACTTACTGAACTTTTTTAATACTAGCATTCATAGTACTCTGGATTCATTATATGGTCTACTTCGGAAATTGTACCAATTAACTAACTAATTTTGGAAAAATGGTATCCGAGAATTTCTCCAACAATCTAATAACAGAAGAAGAAGCTGAATTGTATGACAGACAAATAAGACTATGGGGCATAGAATCACAAAATCGACTAAAACAGTCTAAAGTTTTATTACTTGGTATGAATGCATTGGCTGCAGAAATAGCTAAAAATATTGTTTTGGCGGGTATCTCCAGCCTCACAGTTATAGATGGTCAGCAAGTCACTAATGACGATTTGGAAAACAACTTCCTTATACCACGTGATTCTGTTGGACTAAGCGTAAGTAGCAGTTCGTTCTTCCTTTACGATAACATATATTTTTTTAGCGTGCCGACGCGGTTATTGGTCGTACTCAAAGCTTGAATCCAATGGTTAAAGTACAGTCTTCTGAGCTGGGAGATGATCTAAAAGATAAATTTCAAGAATATAATTTGATCATCCTTATAACCGAATGTTCAAGCGTTCATTTTAAACAGTGGTCAACTATATGTGGCATTGTGAGTGGTATGGACATAGATACAAGACCATATATAATATGTGCATCAGTAACTGGATTATTTGGACTCGCGTTCATAGATCTCGGCGCACATGAATGTTTGTCGTAAGTACTACATATTTCGAGTCAGTATTTATATGCTGTAATGAGTCATTTATTTAAACGCGTAAACAATGGCACGAGGAAGCACCAAATACATATGCGCCACACTTTGTAATTTGATTTGTGTAAGGGCTGGAATACTACTCGATCGCCCAAATCGAAGCATATGGTTTCCTTAAGGGCCACTTTCCGAGCCTTTCATCCAGATGTCTAATCCACAAGGCAGTGGAGCAACATTAGGCGATGCATTCCCATGGTAGACGGAGATCAACAACAGGTTCATATACCATTTATTCCTCCAGGACTCTGGAACCGAAGCACACCATTGGTTTGGAGTCAATGTTTTCCAACTCCCCTAGGTAGGTTCTCCATATCCACCAACTCAGTCAAATCACCAGAAATTCGCTTTCTGTCCCCTTTCGCGAGAAGGCAGTGGGTAGGACTTCCCTGACAGTGGCTGTATACGCGTGGCCATGTGAAAGCATTTCGAGAGGATGAGCTGACTCTCCACTATCGGCCGTACCATGGCATTATGGGGCACTCAGTCATTTGTCAGGCGTAACTGGGATTACATAGAAGAAAGTTCTGTTTGCACAAACTAAATCGTCGAAGAAGTCGGAAGGCTAGGTTGCCATTCAAGTAGAAGTAAAGGAAAAATACATTAAGGATTGGATCCTAAACTTTGAACTGCTAAACCAGTGCTGGTATCACGCCAGTTTATATTTGTGTCATAGTAATTACATCTTCGGTATCTTCTCGTGAAGTAGGTTTATGTAGAACAATGAGATTGCTAATTACAGCTCGGAAAGTACAAGTCACAGGTCCTAACTATCTAACTGAACGTTATGTTTACCGTTTTTACTCTGAAAAACCGTTGATAACAAACGAATACTATTTATTTTTAAGTTGTTACTATTCGCACTCTCCGTCCATGGAAGAAATTTATACGAACTAATATCTATTATAAACAACTCTAGGGATTGGAAACCTTTTGATATTGCCGTCATGCAAAACTCCTACATTATTTCACGAAAACGTGGTATTCATTATTATATAATGCACATTTCTTAGCTAAGTTAGAAATTACTATATAAAAAGGTAACTTTTTTATTTTGCTAATTTAAGTATATCCTCTCACTAGATTTTTTCTTTCTAATCTTCGATTATTTTAAAGTCACATCACTGCCTAGCCAACGGTCGTTTATTTACAGGAACCCTGATAAGTATCGTATTAACGGCCTTCAATTTACAAAACCCTTTCAAGTCTCAAACGTCTAACAGATGTTTCACAACAAATATTTTGCGTTATATCAAACAATTGATAGCTATCTGTAGGGAGTTTGAATTCATTTACAGTGGTCACTATTACTCAAATTCACTCTATTCAATAATCCACTCTATATATCATTAATGAAATACCTTGCTTCTAACGGTGCCATTTCGAGCTTCTTTAATTCCCAATCAATGTCATTAGTGAATGATAATTGAAATCTATTAATTATTTTCTATTTCTATGGAGCTTATATAAATTTAGAAATTATATAAATCACTTATTAACGTAGGTTGAGACGAACATTTGTTAATAAACTGGTTAACAAAAACTCCTCTATCTCTGATTATGCTCAGACTAGCTGTTAACAATGGATTGTCAGGAAGTACTTGAATTTCACCCATCATGTCAAGTATATTTCACTAATTATTAAAATGTCTGTAGAAGTGTAGCGTAGGCACGAGCCTAAAACAACGAAAAATTTTCAGCTAGTTCTTAGCCAACTAAAAACAGCCTTTGCAGATGGATAGTTTATTGAAAATAAAACACTAATATTGCTAAGTGTCAACATATTTTACATACAATTGATTCCCTTTTCGAATTTAAATAAAGCCAAAGCGAACATTGAGGCAAAATAAGATGAATTCATCATATTTCGTGGTTTCTCGTCAGCTGCTCACAACTATATATATTGAATTCGAAAAACAAGGGGGTGGGTAAGGCAGTAATTAAATGAAATTCGGAAACAGATAAGATGGATTGTGTAATACTTATAGAAGTTTTCAATAGTTTACATATAGTTCAAATCACTTGAAAAAATATATAGAAGATTTAGAGCACTGAGGTAGTAGTTGTCTAGAATTAGAAATTGATGAGATAGGTTACATAATGAGTAGACAGGATTTGAAGAGTTGGTATAAGTTTAGAGAATTAAGTGAATGAAAAAGCCATCATCAATGTCGTTTGTTTCATATTATACCATACATCAATGTTACGTTTTAATATACATATGGTTGTAAGCAGCTGACGAGAAACCACGAAATATGGTGAATCCATCTTATTATGCCTCAATTATTTTGGCTTTACTCAAATTTTACATAATCAATGAACCTATTAAGGTCTTTGATAGCTTCCTCTGCCTGCAAGTAAAAAAATAAACGTTCACCGATCCGTTCTTATGGACTATATGTGCCTTCCTAAGCCAGAATATGGGGACCCAAATCGATTTTCAAAAAACCCCATATTTTCTGTCCTTGATTAGGGTCAGGACTGGAGGTCGAGGGTTAAGGTTTTCACTATGAAATTATATCAGCTATAATACGAAAATCCTCTGTAGCCATATGAATGAGTGGGTTCTGCTCAAAAATCCAGGAGCTTCTTTTTATAAAATGTAATGCCATCAGGTTAAGCTTTGTTTCAAGATCAAGGATTATTATTTGAGGACAGTATCGACTCTCCTGTTGTATACAGTCTATAGAGACAGAATTGGACACGTGATGAGTTTAACAGCATCATTTTTACTCTGTGATGGTAAAAATTAAGATCTCGCTGTCACTTTAAATGATTTAAGCAGTGTACGAAGTATCTGTACTGTTTATTATAGGTGACATTTCAATCAGCTACTGTGTAGGACCAGGCACATATATGCATCGGTCCAAGTTGCCATACCTCGTTAGCACAACAACATGAACATCGAATTCGTAGAAGTGGTTAATCCTTTGGTGGTAATATAAAAGAAAGATTGCATATAAGGACATAGTACAGGAAGAAAGAATTAGTTGTTAGAAAGAAAGATATAAAGCAATTTTAATCACATAGTTTAAGGGAAGACAGGGGATGTATACACCTACGCCAGTGTGATCGATTCTGAGCCATGTCATCTAGAGTCTGAATCCGTGCAGTGATTTCGTCAAACGCCAACCCACTCGGTGACATTTGTACTTCGTGAAAATTTAGATGTCATCTTCATTCTAATTGGTTCATTCCTGGACGTGTACGATAAATATAAGGTTTTGCTGATCGAATCGAACTACATGCAAATCTGTTAATATCCTTGCAAATAAATTTTTAACCTGCCTTTTGTACCACGCTCCTTATGGGAGACTGGTTTTAAAATTACGAAATGAGTTTCTTTCAAAAGTTGCTCATGAATGACTGTACTTTTACTCCTATTATTATTTTCCCATAATAATTTCAATAAGTGTGTAATTATTGTTATCTTGACTATTTTAGTGAAGATGTGGTAGTAAAGAAAAAATCAGTGGCAGAATTATCATCTGGTTCAATTCAAAAGATAAATAAAACTAGTGAACCATCAAATACAGAGACGCTACTTGTAAAAAAGGTAATTTTAAAGTTGATATATATCTGTATAAACCGTTTCGCCTGCAAAATCTGAAATCGTTTTTATCGATATTAATGAGTAAACTAGGTTAAGATGTAGTGCAACCAGAACTAGACGTGTAATGATCCAACGAAACAGTTCCGTATTTAATGCCCTGTGAATTTAACTGTGTGATTTTTATTCAAATCCCAACCCTAGAAATTGTGTATGATTGTCACTTCAGCACAAGAAAATGTTATATGGTTACTGCATATCAATATTTTCAAAATGCACCCTGTATTTTTCTCCATAAAATTAATAAAAATATTCGTAAGTAAGAAAGGCTAATAAGATATGATGGAACTTCAATACTGAAATTTTTTTCTTGCGGTGTACCACCATACGCTCTTAAACATTCAGTCCATTAGGTCAGTTACTCCTTAAAAAATTAATAAAACTATTGCTTCTAGCATATGATGCAACAATTAATAAAATAAGGAAAATCAATAAAAATTGCACGGATATATTAATAATCACTGGGAGAATAAGAAAATTATTGATAACTTAGACTGATAATAAATATCAATTCGATATTCTCCTCCTTAATTTGATTTTCGAAGTACCATTGGCTATATAAAACTGGAAAGATTGCTTGGTTTTTCTTCTCGGTGAATTGAACATGCAACTCTTTAATTAGTAGACATATGCGCTCTGAGTAAAAAAAAGTCATGGGTGGTTAAGTTTTGCACAATTGTTAATGCCCTGTTATTGAAGCAACTTTTTTCCTGGGTTTATCTACTTAATGCCAATTACATAAAACAGAAATTTTGTAATTAATAAGTGGCATTGAAGCTGTCTAAATCTTGTACACATTCCTAGTTAATTATGTACACTGTATACTGTATGCATAGTGTTTTCCTCTTTGTTGCAGACATTCAACTATTGTCACCTGTTAGACAGTCTATGTCTTATTTCTAACATGTTAAAAAATAGATCACATGCTAAATATATTTCCAAAGGATATTTCCTTATGCAAGGTATGTTTTGTTTAAAAAGGTCTTCATGTAATTGATATTGCCTATATTCAGTCTTTCGTTACTATCAGTTATTTCCTAGCTACTGGAATCGCTTAAATTCCCACTTCATTCATTGGTAAATATCGTGCTTCTATTATGATTAGACTTTAAGATTCTTTAAAGTACAACAACACATTAGCTTTAACCCACATTTCTCAACCTAATCCTTTGTTTGTACGTTGTCAGTAGCTTGTAATTACTTACAGTTAATATTTTAATGTGCCGTAGAGAGATCGTCTTTAGTTATCGCACTGTCAGACTTGGATGATTAGACGTGACGTGACCAGAATTTATCCCAACTATTAAAAAATAATATGTTCAATATCTCGGCTCCATAACATCTATAGAAATAGAGATTGTCACGTATTTGAACTCGACCTGCTTCTATTTGTACAGCTAGGTATCACTGATAGTTTTTATACACTGCCGTATCTAATAGCATGTAAAAACTACTGTTTTTGTACTGAATAAAATACATTAAACTTTTAGATAAAAGATCTTTTTTATAACTGAAAATTATGCAGTGGAGAGGTTTCAGTTAATTCTTCAGTAAATAATACAGATTTCGTGCTCGAAGTAGACTGAGTTGGATACTGCAATACGATTCAATATAGTAAGCTTTAAAAACGAAACTGTGGGCATTGTCTTATTCACTCCCTCCCCCCTTCGCCGCCAAAGGATTTGCATCGGATGGTCGCCTAACATTATTTCACACATACGTGTCCATCAGCCAATGACAAACTGTCTTCTGACTAACCGATAACATGGTCCATCAAAATTGATAGCGTGATATTTGCATACAGCAACTCGGTGCAAAATTATTGACAAAGGTCAATGTTCTATTTATGTACTAATATTAAAGAAATAGTGTTAGGTATGTAGAGGATTATACCAATAATTATCGTGTCAAGTCGAATGGTGTCCTTGAACGTTAAATGTATATTTCCTATTGGTCGATATTTACTTCACTTGTTTAATATTGTGTAAATGTTGTTTTCTATTTTTATGGTACGATGTGGTCTGCATGGTTATTATATAAACAGAGTGTATTTGAAATATAATGATTCATATCTCAGAGGCTGTGACTTGCGTTCTGGACTCAACTGGATGGGATAGACAGCGTGGCAGGGCCAATCGGGACTCTAGGTCGTTCGTACGTGTTTACGTGTCACTGAAACGATCGATATAAACGCTGCTTATCAAAACCTGCAGTCTCACCCATCACAACATATAGTTTCAGTTGATTGTTTATAGTCTTCTCCAAAGAAGTCCTACTCAGTATATTCATGTAGCAAGGCTGTTTTCACAAACACGGAAGAACAAATGAACAACAAACACTTTTTTCGTTATCCAACCAAAACTTTTATTTTAAGAGACGGCATGCGAAGTGTCTTTTGTCGAAAATTTTCAACCGCTTTTGGTGTAATACAGCAAACCTTGAAGTTACTTAATTCTCAGTCGTTTATTACGTTGCTTATATCATACTCGACAATTTTCGCATCATTTAATCTTTAGTTTTAAGCCAATGCTCTATCGACGAAGCACCATTTACATTACCATATTTACAATCCCAATGGCAAAAGGTATCAAAGATTTTGGATGTAGATGAAACAATTCTTTCCATTGAAGATTTAGAGTAAGTTATAATCTTACTGTTCTCAGATAAAACGCAGTTATAACGCCTGATATTGCTATGTAATTAATTGTGAGCCCCGTCATTTTTCACCCATCACGAAAACTGTACTGAAAAGTTTTAGAAATGCAATCCCATATCACATCACTTCGTAAATCAGCCAAAAAAGCACAAGCGCCAATATATATATATATTTCATGGCTTTTTATCATCCTTGACACCAACACTTGTGTAATAATTTTAATAGTTGAGATCGAGTCAATTAAAGCTAGACCACCATGGAAAACCTGAAAGCACTGAACGGCCGTCCCGTCCTACCGTGGGACTCCTCAGCAGTGCGCATCCATGATCCCACCTCGTATATTGTTATTAACCTCAATACTTCGATACAAAGATGGGTTTCTTTGTCAAATATTCAAAATGAAACCTTTGCGTGCAAATTTTGGAATTTAATTAATGCGGTTCAGGTACAGAATAAGACTAAAATACTACGCCGATTAATGTCGGACACAAAATCACCAATACTTTGGGAATTTGCAATTCAGTCAACTACTACTTATTACTATAAACTAGTAGGTTAGAGAAAACTTCTTAAGTTACAAAACAAACTCAGTGAACCATTAGAGAATTTTGATGTAATTAGCTGTTGGGAATAAAATTCGAATAATGTTTGTACTTTTAACATCACTTTATAAGATGGCCTCAGTATTATATCTCAGATTTTGCATGTTATCTTTTTAATGCTCTACATAGATGTTGCTCTGGTCCTACAATCCCGGCTGTTAATCCAGTACTTGGTGGTGTTGTGTCGCAAGAAATAATCAGGGTAAGTAAAAGGTTCTTTGTTATTATCTTTAATAAATCATGATCTCTTCTTCAAGGCACCATGTGAATAGACCGAGTATTATCTTGCATTATTGCAGTGGTAGAAGCTACGGCAATGTCCGACTACATATACAGGGTTATTAAGTTACAAAAATACAAATGCAAAATATCTTGTTTACCAGTGTACGAATTTAAGTAAACAGAGGATCCAACAATATCACAGATTAACTATCGGCCTTGTTGCATAGATCCTGTGGTCAACACTTTCTATGACCACTAGACAAGATCAACAAATAGTTAATTTGTGAAATAATAATAATAGTCTAACAAAGAGACTTCCCCATTTAACTGTATTACCGATTAGCATAATATATCAATGCTGGTTGTAAATAAACATCTGTAATTGTTTTACGGGCTTCAAGATCACTACGTCATCTTCCCTGAGTAAAACATTTCTGTTGCTTAAATGAGTGCAACTCTTACTAAACGACTGTAACTCACAGCGAGGCGCACTACTATGTTGTATAAAGGGATCTTGGTGAACAGACTGATGTTTTTGTTGTCAGTACAAATAGTCGAGTTGACGATTGTCATTGTTCATTTAGCTACCTGATATTCATTAACTTCCCTATCCCCAACCAGCATTTTTAACGTCAGTATCACTGTAACCAATTTGCAGTATTTTTCAAATCGACTTTCAGTATTGCTAATTTACTCCTATTTCTTAGGCCATAACACGAAAAGGTGCACCGCATGGAAACTGGTACTTTTTTAATGGATCACAGTGCTCAGTTACTGTCGATTGGTTACCGCCAGATGAAAAGTCATAAACCAGTGAATATCTCTACTAACATTAAAAAAACAAGCTATTTTTCTATTGGATTTAATAAATGTATAGTTGACTGTACAAGATTTGAAAAAATATACAAAAATATAAAACTGTGCATTTTTTTAATCACTGTCTTCGTCGATCTCGATTTCTTCTTTGTTTTTTCGGTCAAACCATGTGGGCTCTCTCTCAGGAATACGATTATCATCTTCATCACCTTGTAAATCATCCTCCTCCTCTTCTTCTTCTTCAGATTCTTCGCTGGAATCACTATCCTCTTTACCTTCGGCCTCTGCAGCTGCTTTTTTCCTCTCCATTTGTTCTGCCCATCTAGCGGCCATTGTAAGCAATTTTTGATTTGGCTTTTCTGCATCTGTATCGGGGAATGTATACTCAATATATTCTTCCCAACCACTACGTTCATCACCAAGTCGGCGACTGCGAACGACCTTCTGCGGTTGTAGTTTATCAACATCTCGCTGTGTTTTTTCAGTTCCATATTCATACTAAAGGCAGAAAAATTTAGGAAGGAACCAAAATTAAAAGATACAGTCTGTTAGACTTTAGAAATCGTATTGTAAATACCAATGATCATGACAGCTACTAACATGAAACCCAATATGACAATTACTCTAGACAATAGCTAATTTACAAATACTTCACTCCTCCAGCAACCTCGTGTTAAATACTGTAATAAGAGATCAGCGGTGTAATAAATCTAGGATTTTAGACATTTTATGTAGGTGTGCACAACAATTTTTAATAATAAGTGAATTTTTCAGCATACAGTATGGTCTTGCACATTGAATTTTATAAAAGAGGAAAACTATCCTTGATAAATACAGTTGTAAAATTATTCTTATTCCAAATGGTAACCGCAGTACCGTACTCAAAATCTGTCAGTCAATCAAATAACATCGTTATTAAGCAAAAAGATGCACCTACTTTTTTAATTATGGGGACTGTGGATAGGACATTCTGAATATTAAGGTCTTGAGAATAAGTACAAAACTCGAACTTTAAGACGAGTCACTATAAATATCTACGATCTAAAAGCACATAGAAGTAAACACTTGCTATATATATATATATATATATGTATATATATACAAATAACAACTGATATGGATATAACAGGCAAATTTCTATTCGGAAAGTCAAGCAACTTACTTCAAATTCCTTCCAAGCTTCAAGTAATCGAACACGTTGCTCCTTATCCTCTGTATATTTCAGAGCTTTATTTGCTTCTTGGTAGATTTTACGTGAACGTTCTACTGCTTTGTTGATTTCGTTTTCATTATGTTCTTGTATTAATGTTTCTTTGTCCAGTTCAACATCTTTCAAATGTTCTAAATCTTCATCATCTAAATCAGCGGCTGTGAGTTTGTTCAAGGCACACAATTCGAAGTTTGCAAGACTTAACCATACCTACCGATAAGAACCAATTGAAAATATTTAGTCATCACTGACAAGCAAATTAATATGTACGATAAAATCTGGTACCAAATTGGAGTACTGATAATCCCCAATCATTCTCAAACAGTCTTACTATAATTATCCAATTAGGTTTGTCTGGATAATTGGTAGTCTGATAAAATGCTCCACTCTCGTATTTTATGGTGTAATTTACCAATAATACAGTATAACACTGCTTTCTGGAAGTGCGGACTTGTGATATGATTTGGAATATCTCAGTTATTTAGATGCTGTTAACATCAGCGTTTAGTTAAGCTCTGAGATATTTCTATGTCAAAATACAAATGAAATACTCGTAACTCACGAATTCCTGAGCAGGTGAAGTTTATAAAATATGCACAACTTTCAAACCCGAACATTCTAACTAAACAGAAATGCGGAACCGATGGATGCACCAACACTTAAGTTAGTTGGTAAAATAGGACGTACACTTGAGTGCATTAAATTTATGTCACCCAATGTATGCAACCACTCAGTTACCTTTAAGACTAAGAACTTACAACTTATTTACTTTGGTTACCAAACAAGTGGGAAATCCAATTGTGTAGGCTTAGTTTCAGACAGTGGGATACATTTTACTTTTAAACTAATTGAAACATAAGGGTCGTCATCGAGGTAGCTTAAACTACTATGATGGTCACATGATAGTGAAATTATGTTAACAACATATTATAAAAGATGTCTCTAGGTCTACCTTAAGAAACCAGTTACATTAGAGATGGGTCTCTTTATGTGTGAACATTCCATTTTACTCTCATTTGATGACTCCTGCCATACACAGGGTACGTTGATCTCACCGGTCTCGGATTACGGATGCGTTTTGGATACGGAGTGACTACCATCATTCAATAGCATAGTAAGTAACGTTTTGGAGTTCGGCGTAGTAGATTGTAGCAAGTTATTTCAGATAACTGGTCTAGGCTACAACTAAATAAACATCTTAGATTTTACAACCACCCATTTCGATAGTATTACCCACTTACTGATTTCATTTTGTGGTTAGTTTTAATAGAACTACTAAGATGAATACAGTATTTCACTTTGTCCAGAATGTACAACCTGCTGAAAATGGTTACCTTTCATTGTGACATTCCTTTATCTTATGACTTAACTAGTACGAACAACACTTACTTTGACATGTTGTGTTCGATTTAGCAGTCTTCGATAAAGTGACTCCTGCCATACACAGGGTACGTTGATCTCACCGGTCTCGGATTACGGATGCGTTTTGGATACGGAGTGACTACCATCATTCAATAGCATAGTAAGTAACGTTTTGGAGTTCGGCGTAGTAGATTGTAGCAAGTTATTTCAGATAACTGGTCTAGGCTACAACTAAATAAACATCTTAGATTTTACAACCACCCATTTCGATAGTATTACCCACTTACTGATTTCATTTTGTGGTTAGTTTTAATAGAACTACTAAGATGAATACAGTATTTCACTTTGTCCAGAATGTACAACCTGCTGAAAATGGTTACCTTTCATTGTGACATTCCTTTATCTTATGACTTAACTAGTACGAACAACACTTACTTTGACATGTTGTGTTCGATTTAGCAGTCTTCGATAAAGTGACTCCTGCCATACACAGGGTACGTTGATCTCACCGGTCTCGGATTACGGATGCGTTTTGGATACGGAGTGACTACCATCATTCAATAGCATAGTAAGTAACGTTTTGGAGTTCGGCGTAGTAGATTGTAGCAAGTTATTTCAGATAACTGGTCTAGGCTACAACTAAATAAACATCTTAGATTTTACAACCACCCATTTCGATAGTATTACCCACTTACTGATTTCATTTTGTGGTTAGTTTTAATAGAACTACTAAGATGAATACAGTATTTCACTTTGTCCAGAATGTACAACCTGCTGAAAATGGTTACCTTTCATGGTGACATTCCTTTATCTTATGACTTAACTAGTACGAACAACACTTACTTTGACATGTTGTGTTCGATTTAGCAGTCTTCGATAAAGTGACCGAGCACGTTCCCAATCATACTGTTCAATCTCGAAGTCAATATATGCTTTCCATAATAATTCCGGCATATCCAGCAATTTTCTGCTGATCGCTAATTCATAAATACCTCGTGCACGATCTGTTTCTCCCAGAAGACTTTCCAATTCAGCATACTTGTTAATCGTTGATGTATAAAAGTAAAAGGATATAAATTATTATTAGCTCTCGTTTGATTGTGTAGAGCCAACTAGATATAAACAGTCAACGGATAAAGTCTTTGAATATCATTGGCAAGTTGATAATCCACAGTGAATATTTTTATCAGACAGATTATTTTAGAGAAATCATGGAAAAAATGAACTTGAGGTCTTATCTTGCTAAATACAATTTTCTTCCTTGGAAATGTAAAATAGTAGTCATGGTATTCAGATTATACAAATCCTTATGCCTACGATTTTCGTCTTTTAGCTATAAGACTTCATAATTCTGGATTATCCAACTACTAGTTCTTGTGAATGATGATGCTGTACAAAGTATACACCGTTAAGTGCAGTCGATATTTCGTAATACAGTAAGATAAAACTGAAATCCCCAGACATAGTATATATTAGGCCTGCACAAGTGAAAAACCAAAATACTGTATAGTGTGGTTTGCATACAGTGAAGTTTATTTGACCTGCTTTAAAATACTTCATATCAGCATGTGGTATTACAGTAAGCGATTATTATTGCGAACGAAAACCAAAACTTCCAGCATACAAACACACCAATCAGCTATTCTTAATAGAATCCACGTCAATCATTCTGATTGTTTTTTCACCTCGAAATATTCTAGAATGCATAACAAGTATCACCAATGTAGAAGCACTTACATTCAATAAAAGGTCAAAGACATGCTTAATACTTATCTCTTTTTAAGAAAACATTTTTCTACTTTAAAATAAATAACTAGGGATTTTACGCATCATATATGATATATCAATTAGGGAAAATTCAAATATGTAGTACAGAATAAAGGTGAAATGACATACCCTCATCCATGTTGTACAGTTTTCCGGAGAAAATTCCAGGAATTTTTCATATAATTTACGACATCTATCAAATTCTCTCAACTGGATCTCCAATTCAATATAACCGCGGAATAGCTTATCTTTCGGACACATACCCAAAGCGGTACCCTACAAAAAATTAGGCGAGGAAATTTTCATTTGAATGTATTCGTATCCATGTTACAATCATCAATAAAGAAAATTTGATGACATTTATTTATACATAGTGTTGTGCGAAACCACAGTTGTCTTACAGAATCACATATAAACATCACGTCACTGATTTTTCATAAAATCTATACGTTGATTAATAGAATTCGGTCAGAATTAAAGAATAAATTTGACTACCATACAGTATAAGCCATTCTTTCCGATGGATATCAGTTTCAGCATCTCTAACTATGGTGCATGAAATGTTTTTGAGTTTAAGAACATGAGTTCTCGTAAGAACGGCAACAGTTCAAGCAGCTTGTGGTTTCAGACTTTTTACAAACATTATGTCGATTG